TATCAATCAGCTGAGCATAATAAAAGAATATGTGGGATATTGTTGGATAGAGTCCAAATAGCTGATACTGCCGTAAGGAATTTAAAAAATCGTAGAGACGAAAATGAAAAATTTTTTTCGGAAAGTAATCTCATTCTGTTACAAAGATTGGTACATGTCATTGGTAAAATTCATAAGCTTGTTGAAGATATTTCTCAGTTAACAGGTTTAGCAAAGTATATTCAAGCTACAAATCTTGAAAATAGTGTTTATGAATTAAGTAGGGAATTCGATTCCAATATACAAGCGTTGCACTTTTCTCTGACGATCGATTTTGGTATAAATGCCGATAGAGATACCGAGATTATTAAGTCTGATATCAAAGAATTTTTTCAGGTATTGCGTGATATGCATCAATTGATTTTTTATGGATCATAATACGTATGTGGTCTTATCTTATTATTAACAAATTCTCTTATCATATAGTACCTTGAAAATATCGGCAGTGGTGTAACTGACTCGAATAATAAGATTTCGGTAATTCTCAAGCAATTGTATGAACTTAATAAAACCTTGACGGAACCTAAATCAACAGATAAATCATCAAATACTGACGCATTTATAAGTGAATTACTCAAATTTAACGATTTCGAAGAAGAAGAACTTGAAGCTAATCAAAAACTGTCAAAGGTTAGAAAATACAAAAGGAAAGGATTGAATGATTTTGTCGCATTAAAGTTAGTGGCTGATAAAAATAGCAATAAAACAGAAAAGGATAGATTTAGAAAGCAAGTTACAATTTTAAAAAAATTGGAATCATGTCATTGTATTATTCAATTTTTTGGTTTAACAGCGTATGATGATAAATTTTACTTGGTAACTGAATGGGCTGATAATGGAAATTTACGTGAATATTATAAACGGCATGGTAGACTTAAAGTTAAGGTGAAATTAAGTTTTGCTCTTGACATCGCTAAAGGATTGAATTTCCTGAGCTCTGCTTCGGTAAATTTATTTTTATTACTATTATTATTATTTATCATCTCTTAATTTCTAAAGAAATCGTTTGTTATTTTCAGATTGTTCATCGTGATATTAGAGCCGAGAACATTTTAATCACCGATCGGAAGTTGGCCAAGATTGCAAATTTTAAAGCAAGTCGAGCAATTACTGATGGTACAGCAAATCAAGCTGCCACACTAGAAGCTGTACGGTATTGCGCACCAGAAAAATTAGAGAAAAGGTCAAAATATGACACAAAGTGTGAAGTTTATAGTTTTGGTATACTACTTTGGGAAATTGCTGAAGAAAAAACTCCTTATGAGAAATTTGAAGATATCCTCGAGATTACTGATCTTGTTTGCAACAAAAAATATCGTGAATCATTTTCTCTTGGTTCGAATTTGCCAAAAGAATATAAAGAGCTCGCAAAAAAAGGTATTAATATACAAAATATCTGTTTTTTTTTATTCAATTTGGTTTTTATATTTTAAATCTCAAACTTCTGTAAATTTACTATTAAAAATCTAGCTGTTGAACATGATCATAATTTTAGGCCTCAATTTTCAAAGATCTTTACCATTTTACAAGATCTTTTTAAAAGAAATACACCTTCACCTAGTCCCAAAATCACGCCAATAAATAATGAAACTCTTGTAAATGATAAAAACTTTTCAGAATTTAGACTAATGTCAGTAGATGAAGCGGCGAAACAACATAAACTTAATAATGGAAATCGCGAGTTAGCCTATCAATGTTTTGAAGCAAATGCAAGATTAAATGATATGAAAGCAAAATACTTTAAAGCATATTACATTCAACAAAATTATGTTAAACTTGATATGAACCAAACAACAAAAGACAAATTAATGGCAGAGTTATATAAAGAAGTAGCGGATTCAGGTGATGCTGAAGCTCAATTACGTTACGGTAATTGTTTATTTAAAGGTACCGGGGTTAAAAAGGATTTAAAAGAAGCAGCCGATTATTTTACCAAGGCCGCCGAAAATGGCCAAGTCATTGGTATGTATAATGCTGCAACTTTATACTTTTCTGAAAATTCTGGTATAAAGAACGTAGAATTGGGTGAAAAGTACATGAGATTGGCTGCTTATAAACAACATACTCAAGCTATTGCTTATTATAAGGATAGAAATTTACCTTTGTAACTTAGATAATAACCTTTTTTATTTATTTAAATTTATTTATTATTTCTTTACCATGTTAAGTTGCTAGATTTTCATGACTGCATTAATTATATATGTATCTCAATTATTAAATTCTTTAGTAAATAATTTTTTTAAAGAAAATGTATACAATACAACTGATGATATTTATTATGTTAAACCATAATAAATTTTTAATAAAAGACTTATTTTTTAATATTTTAATAAAAAGATTAGTAATTTTCGAATTTTGCAAAATGTTAAAGAATTAGGAAAAATGTGCTCTTTAACAGTACGCAATTTTATTTTGGTAAAGTATCATCAATAAAAATACAAGTGAAAATCTCATTTAATTATAATAAAGTTTTAATGATTGAAGATTTGAATCACGTGTGGATCTTTAAAGATTTCTTTTATAATTAAATTAAATTTAATCAACTACTTGGAATGTTTATCTGGTTCTAAATCAATAAAATTGATTAAGTATTTGTTACATTTTAAATACGTGTGAAAGGGTTAAAAAAAAAAAATAGAATAAAATTAATTATGTAATTATATTTAATAAAAAAGTATACTTTGTTTTGAAGTTATCCCGTAAAAGCAGATAATATCACATTGAAGTTCAAGCTAAATATTGCTAATATAATTTTAGCTTAATATATGTATAAATGATTTATATAAACTTTACGTTATATAATATTTCGTATTACCTCACGAAAAGTTATTAACAGTAATGTTGTTCAAAAGATTGGTTCTGGCTGTTTTTGCATGCTTTAAACAACCTCTTTCGTTAAAATCGCTTTCATAAATTTTAACATTGCTAATTCATAGTATTTGAGTATACATATATTTAGTGATGAAAATTCTTGGAAAAAAAAATGCATTTGTAACGCTTAATAGATATGTAATTTGTGCAACAATGAAAATGAAAAATTAATGATTCCAGCAATATCATGTGATATATTCAAAATAATTGTATTCTCGAATACTTGGGTTCGAGTAAAACCAATACCAAATAAAAAAAAAAAGATAAAATAAATAAATAAATTCAAATTTTTTTTTTTTACAATAATAATGAAGATACATTTATACAAGTGTGTTATAGTTATTAGGAGATTATTATAGTTTCAAACATTTCCTCGCCGCATATCTTTTATAATTATTTTTTTTTATTTTTAATTAAATAAGGAGTTAATTATCACATGCTATTACTATATAAAAGAGAGAACATCTAATTCTCTAATAAAAATATAGGATATGTTAAAATTTATGTATTTCGAGGAAAACTTGAAGCTGGCCTGCCAAGTTTTATCGTGATCGTTAATAAATTTAATTTTTCTTTTATTATTTACTTTTTGAAAAAAACAAAAATTATGGGTCTTAACTTTATTTTCAAATGAGATTTCATTTTAGCACTTTATTACAAAAATGATCTGAATTTTTTTTTTTTTGTTTTTTATCAAAAATACTTTTCAATATTGTCCTTTAATAATTTTAAAACTCTTCGAAAACAAACTATTTGTACATAAAATGTTACTTTCATAATCTTTTTTAATACTTGTACCATTCTTCATTGGGGTGTACCATCAACTTTGTAAATCAAAACATACCGTATAGCGCTAACATTATTACCCCCTTTGCAAAATATAGTAACGGATTCTATTCAATCACCAAAAATAAAATTTTGATTAATATTATTAAATGTCATTATTTATTAAGTATACATGATTATTATTTAAATCCATTCATTATCATAATATCCCTCCTCATAATGATTATCATTAATATCATTACTTCTATCATCTAAAATTTCTACTTCATCATTTGATTTTGCTTGTTCAAGTATCATGGTCAATCTGACTTTACTACTATATATTACTCAATTCGAACAGTTGTTGCTAATAAATAAGCTTGTGTATAGCAAGTAATTTTTTTAAATTGATTTAATTGATCTATACTGGTGTTCGACCGATAGTTCTACGCCACGACCAAGAACTTACAAAATAAAATGGATATATCCAATATGCACTTGTTTTAATAAACTATTTTTAATTAAAGATAAAATTTCAAAATTTGAAACTCGAGCATCAGAAATTCATTATTAATACTA